AGACGGTTTGTATTTTGAAAATTAAAATTAAAATTAAAGTAGAAAATTGGACATGGTTTGAAAAAAAGAACCGTGGGTTAAAAATGTCTGCCACATATTTATTTTTGTACAGAGAAATTTTTCAACGAGGCTGTCCAAAAATTTCACTGAATTCTCTTTGTGTTGCCGATAAAGTTCAGTGAAATTATCAAACAGCCTCCCTGAACAATTTCTCTGTAATAAAATAAAATGACGGCGGAAATTTTTAATCTGCACATGGCGTCTGAGATACTTTGGCCGGAAGGTGACGACTCACCAACACACCGGAGCTACTTTATTCAAGCATTTTGACAGACGCCGCACAGTGGATCGAGTCAGTAGGAGAGGTTATACAAAATTTGGAAACACTAAACGCTTACAACTCCGTTTATACAAAACTTTGAGGTTCCAGAAGTGGTTACATTGGTTCCCTCGTAAAATTATCTTCCAGAAACACTCCTTGAAATTAAAAATGTGACGGAAAAAACATCAAAATTTGCAGTTACAGTAAAGATCCTCATGAGCGACCCCTCTGATTGACTCGATCCACTGTGCGCCGAAAGCCCGAGAATCCATCAACATAAAGGACCATAGGATATTTTGCAGCTTTGGTCCCCGGTGCGGTCCAAAGTGGAACGGGCCTACCTTAATAGAAAATTGTGGAGTAGTGGGGAGCATTAGAGATCCCTCGGGAAGGAGGGAATATATTCAACGAGGGGAACGTAATTATATTAATATTCTCATCATTTGCGCCGGCTTCGTGCCTTCCTTAAGATGTCTCTCGTTGTCGGTGGCTAATGAGTCAGAAGGGCGGGAATGGCCCGTATTCAAATCTCCGCTCCGCGCGTCATGACGTCATGATTGATGGCGTTCCCCGCGAAGCCTCGCGTATCTCCACCGCCCGAGAAGAAAAATAGCGCCCGAGGCGAATCAAGTGCGCGCCCGGCGGGGAAAATGAATCTTTAAAAAAGTCGACGCCAAGCAAAGCGATGAGATAACATTTTTTCGGCGGCGAGCCTTGAAAATTAACGGCGAGGAGTCGTCGGGGGCTCCTATTGCCTTTGCAAATCTGCGAATATGAAACAACCTCGGCTAGGCATAGGCGTGGCGAGGTTATTTTGCTGGGGGTGTGGCCCCCCTACTACCGGGGAGTCCGGAGGTAGAACCCTCCCCCCCCCGCCGCTGCACACTGCCCCGAGCCAATAGAAGGAATCGGACAAAATCTGGAAACTTTGAAAGCTTATATTTCTTAAAATATAAGGCATAAAAGTTCGAGAGTGGTTCTATTGGTTTTTTCGCGTTTCCTTTCACCCAATTTCAAGGGGGGCACCCCTTGAAATTGACTTTGTGACCATATAAACATCAAAATTTGAACTTTTAGCCGACAAATTGGATTACATTTTGCAATAAGGAACCACTATGTCTGGCTAATTTTAGAAACAAAATATATATGCCATTGATTTCCCAATGCAGATACGTGCTTTTATGGAAGAGCCAGAGATAGTGGTTCCTTATTGCAAAATGTAATCCAATTGATGTTCGACCTTTCGTAATAGCTCGTTCCACTGTGCGCCGTTCAAAGGAAAGTCTAAGGGTTCAACGGAAAATTGTTGAAATTTTAATTCTGTTTGTTCGCATTTTAAGGGTTTTTATGGGGCTTACTCGAAAATGTAGAAACCATACGTGAGAGGAACGACGAATCCGAGTTATGACGAATTGACCGACCCAATTTTGGATTCGGATCCGGAACTGCGGGCTGATTGTCGAAATTGATAGACACAGCTATAGACAAAGAGGACATAAGGAGTATTGAGGGGTCCTATTATTTGAAATGTGTGGTTTTAATAGAGTAAGGGGGACAATGATGAACTAACTGATGGGCCTCCCGTGGGTTACCGTTAGTTAATCTGTTACCTTCCTTTGTCCATTGTAACCACTTACTGGCTGATTGTTGAAATTTATAGACAAAGCTATAGATAGAGAAGCCATGAGGAGTATGGAGCTATCCTATTGGTTGAAATGTGTGGTTCTTATAGGCTAAGGGGGTAAATGATGGACTAACTAATGGGTCTCTCGATGGTTGCCGTTAGTTAGTCTATTACCTGCTTCCTCTCTCCATTACAACCACCTGCTTCCACCAATAAAATGCCTTCACATCCCGTTCGTCTTATTTGTCTATAGCTTTGTCTATAAATTTCAACAATTAGCCCGCTGGGTTCCGCGGTACTCCCATTCCATTTCCGTCGATTCTGGGTTTTGAAACTGTTTACTTCCGATTTCTTCCACTCCATGACCGTCAAAAGTTCCGGGATTCATTTCGGATTTGTTCCGAGGAAGTTCCGGAAAACGCTAAAGACTCGGAAAAATCGGGAATTTCAAAAGTTCTGGGGAAAATTCAGGAAAATCACAAAAGTTCCGAAATTCGGAACTAGTTCCAGGAAATGGGAGCACTGGGGTTTCGGATAAGACGAAAAGCGGGCGCACACCTTGGCGGTGGAATTGATTTAAGCGCGCCTTCGTCTCGGCTGTGAAGTCGAATTCGGGGCAGTCGAGGGCTGCAAATGGAGAGGAAAGGCTCCAGTTCCCGAAGCCGGGCCCCGGATCCAGAGCTGTGGAAATTAATTAATCACGGACGAAGGAACGTCCGAAGGGGCTGAGGGGGCCACCAGCAACTTGATCGAGGTCTCCGCGCACCCGGCCAAAGTTCGATATCATTCGTCATCTAAGTTGAGTCGTTTAAGCTCCGTTGACTCGTTTAAGCTCCGTTGACTCGTCTGCCCCGATCCCGGCTACGGCGCACGTCTCTCCTCCAGTCTGACCACCCGGACTCCGGACTCTCGCCGTCCAATATGAATCCATTCTCTTATCTCTTTCCCCCCACCACCCTAAAGTCCCCATATACTCAGAGGAAAGACAACACGAATCCGTTTCTGATTTGTTCCCGTATTTTAGACCTCCACAGTGCCACAAACGGGAATAAATATCACATTTTCACCGATGGAGAATTTGCACGAATTTTCTTACAGAAAGTGCCTAAAGAGCTGATTTTTCAGTATTTTTTATAATTTTTTCGGCTATGGGAAATATTATAAAATAGATTTAACCCTCTATTTCATATGTCTACATACAGGGTGTTTCAGACCACCCGTACCAGGCCTTTTTCTCGGTTGGTTTGGGTCGTACGAAGTCGCAGACCGCGGGGTTGAATAGGGAATTGACCCCAAGGAATCCGAATTTCGTGGTCCCGAAACCCCCCCACCCCACTCCCCTTGGGAAGTAAAGGGGGGTCACGATGCTAAAAGTCACTGTTCCCGACCGAATTGCGGATAGATCGCATCAGAATTGAAAAGCACAGAAAATTTCACGTGAAATTGACCCCTAAAATTCCAAAATTGGACCATCCAAGGCCTAACAATTACCCCCTAGAGAGGGGGACAGTACCCCCCTCCATAATTTCTCTTTGGTCTCAAAATTGACGTAGATTCTCCAGAAAAAGACAGTTTCCCAGGTAATCGACCTCGAGAAATCCAAATTTCATGCTCCCGAAGCTCCGCTAGCTCCCCTTGGGGGGTAAACAGGGGGCCCAATTTTAAAAATCGGGGCTCCTTTCCGAATCGCAAATTGATTGCATCCAAATTGAGGAGCAGAACTCATTTACATCTTAAGTGACTCCTAAGAGTTCTAAAAGACCCCCTGAACGGCAGAAAGTAACCCCCTGAGGAAGGGGGCCTCGCCCCCGCCAAAAATTTCTGACATCGTAAAATGAACTAAATACTTTTCATGATAAATCATTTAAAAAACACAAAAAGAAGATCAAATAAAAATTGTAAAACTCACTTGCGCGTACTTTTTTTTTTTTTTTTTTTTTTTTTTTTTTTTTTTTTTTTTTTTTTTTTTTTTTTTTTTTTTTTNAAAAAAAAAAAAAAAAAAAAAAAAAAAAAAAAAAAAAAAAAAAAAAAAAAAAAAAAAAATCCTACGGGAGAACACTTTCTTGCATTCAGCTGTATAAAATCGGAAATGAAGACTTACATGGAATCGCCTCCTATGAAATACTGTTAGCATCCTTACATCACTGATGTCCTTGACCTTCCCGTGTTTTAATAACTGCAACTTGGTAGAGGCATTGTAGAGTCAGGTCGTGAGGAGTTCTTGCACGAGTCATTTCCGGTTTTTTTGAGTACTCATTTCCGTTTCCGGGCAGCGTTTCTCTGTCCTCTAACCTAAATCCCGCCGTCAGCTGCGCGACCAATATTTGATCCCTTCGTATCCAGCTCACTATTGGCCAGGATTGCATTTGAGTCATCGCATTGACGCCGCATTTCATCGATATATTAAGTATTTTACCACACGGTGTACATTTGTCATGAATCTCGCAGAGAACTGTTCTTGTGAAAAGTGTGGTACCTAATATGTAGACCATATTTGGGGTTTATGTTAATTTTTGGAAGTTTGTGATTGAAATCATCGTCTAGTCGCAAAGTGTATTTGTAATTTATGAAAGATAACGCTTTGATCCCTTTGAAATCCGCCGAAAGATGAGAGGACGTCAATCCCTGTAGTCGCAAAATACGTACCTCAGATTGCTACGTTGATACTTTCCACCGGTATTTTACTTTTAAAAAGAAAATCTAATAATCAGCCTCTATCGAAATTATTCATATTTTTTCTCTTAGTCCTACAAAAAAATCCTTAATTTGTCATCAAAGAAAATGAAACATGACCAAACATTTTTAATTTTTTTTAAAGCGTCTGAAGAAAATTTGGAAGCGTTTACAGAAAATTTGAACGCGTTTTTCGTATTTAGTCATCGATATATAATTTTTTCACGGGAGAGAAATAAAATAGAAACAAAGAATCTGCAGCTTCAGGATGATTTCCTTTCAATTCTGTCAAGTATACATAAATATAGAATTAAAACTCCGTAACATGTTGCTTAGCTGCAGTCTGCAAGACTAATTTTTATTTCAAACGTTTGTTCACAGATGTTTGGCTCTCCGAGCACTCCGGTCCTTGAAAATCCCGAATACCAAACGAGGTGGTACTTCAAGTATTTCCTTGGAAAATGTAAGTTGATTTTGTAGTAACTTAAGATTTTTCTAAATTGATTCAAGGCTGACTGTCTGCTTGTACATGAATAATTTCACATTTAAAGCAAAATCTATGACTTTACCTTTCTATGGACACTAGAATACATACGACGGTGTAAGTCGGCAATCACATAACTCGGTTTGCGACGTCGCAGACTTCCTGTCATACTTTATTTTTTAAACGGAAAACTACTCAACGGCAATTCTTTAAAACTGCCGTGATTTTTCCTCTCTTTGCGAAGAAAATTCAGCAAAAACTTCAAGGAATGATGTCAATTTGTTCTCCTTTAAAAAATAATATAGAGGCGGAGATTTTCAGACACCGCAAACGAGTTATGTGATTGCCGACTTACACTGTCCATATACCGACTGTGTTGGGTTGAATATGTGGCATGGCACTTGGAAAAAATTCCCTTTTTTTTTTTTTTTTTTTTTTTTTTTTTTTTTTTTTTTTTTTAGTTTTCAGAATTTAAAATGAATAAAATGTACAGCTTACTCAACCAAAATTTCTGCCAATATACAATTGACAATATGTTTTGGCAGAAAATATGGGTTACTCAATAGAATATCCTAAAGTGAATTTACTATCGGCTTTCTGTAAAAGCCTAATTACCTTGGTCCGCTACTCAAATCCACGCAAAATATTTTTCTCAGACGTCTTTTACAGACGGCTAAAGCCTCTTAGCTCTTGAGAAAAACATGTGTGTCCTTATGTTACTTTTGATTGGTACAGGAAATAAAACACAAAATCTCCCAAATTTGATGATGCGTTCACGTTGAATCCATCACAGAAAAGAATGGAAAAACTTGGAAGCTCCACAATTGGATTGGGTTACTTTGTATCCAACATTATTTATCGAGATTTTGTAATATTTTACCCTACAGTTGAATAAATTTACCTTCAGAACTCTGACTCCATCTTACTTTGTTTCAGTACATCAAAATTACGTAGGCGCTGATGCCGATCGCGAACCGTTCTTCCTATCAGTAGTGCTCAGTGAGGCGAATAGTCAATGCGGACCGCAATATAGAGCCATCCTATGGAGAAAATACGTAAGTTGAAAAGCTCAAAATTTCTCAATTCTTTTTTTGCGAATGAGAGATGAAAAACATTATTTTTCCTCGAAAAGTAGGCCGCGCAGTAGTCTCGATTACTCAAATTGCCGTGATGGCGAAGAGAGCAGTAATTGCCAAATTTTCGAAGTCAAATTAATTTCCAAATTAAGGGTAACACTTTCGTGACGTCAAGAAAGCGTTATCCTTTAACACGTAAATCATAATGGCACAGCGCTATTTTTGACCCTCTCCTCCCCTAGCGCTTTACCTAATTTATGAGTGGCCCCTAACGGTAAAAGCCTGAGCCCCCCCCCCCCCCCCCCCCCCCCCCCCCCCCCCCCCCCCCCNACAGTGTTTCATACAGTGTGTCACACAATACAGTAGTCTACAACGTATGGTACCTCAGTTCTGCACCTCAGAGCCATGAAATCCTTCAAATTTGTATTTTCGAATCATACACTGAAAAAAAAAATGTGCTGGGCTCAAGCATGATGATTCATGAATTTGCCACCAAGAATTTTTTTTTATCTTGGTTGAAGCTGAATTTTTCTTGATACAAGGAAAATAAGGCTTCCGTTGAGCAAAAAAGAAGTTTATATTCAGCAGTAAAATTCTTGATTTAAGGAAAAACACTTCTTGGCGGAAAATTTAAGATGCTTTTTTTCAGTGTATCGATGGCTAAAGAGCGAAACCACGTATCTCCATCACGGTATCACAGAGTTGGCCCCGTACCGCCATCTTTTCGTTGATTTGATGCATCATCACTTAAACGCATTGCCACTAGCATACTGCCGTGCTAAGGAAGAACACCGTATGAACATTCGAGAGTCGCCAAATTTCCTTTCATAAAATGTTCATTTCCGAGGAAACTTATGAATATTTCCTCTTGAAATTGTCAGAACTTTTCGGTGGGATTGCGAGCAAAATTATCTGAAAAATTGGAAGAAAAATAGTCATAAGTTGACCAAGAAATTCGTGTTTTATTAAGGGAAATTTGGCAACGCCTGAAGGTTCATACGGCGTTCTTCCTTGGTGGAGCAGTATACTACAATTCTAGAGGCAGGTTGAAATAAAAAAGCGCACCCCATCGGCTGAGCGTTTAATAAAGAACGACATGAAGCTTGCGTCGTCGCAAACGGAGGTACGTGGTTTCGCAGTTCTGCCGTGCTGAGGGAGAACGCCGTATGAGCCTTCGGACGTTGCCAAGTTTCCTTCGATAAAAAGTTATATTACTTGGAAAATTGTGAATATTTTTCACCAACATTTTCAGACAATTTTGTGCGCAATTTAATGTAAAATATGTGAAAATTTCAAGGAAAAACATGCATGAATGTCGTCAAAAATCCATGTTTTATCGAGGGAAATTCGGCAACTCTCGAATGTTGATGCGGCGTGGTTCCTTAGCACGGCATAGTTGGTCATGGATATTATCGTCACCTTCCAGGCAAAGTATCACAAGCGCCATGCGACGTTTAAAAATTTCCGCCGCCATTATATTTTTTTACTGAGAAATTGTCGGTTGAATCTGTTTGGAAATTTCACTAAATTTTATCGGCAGCACAAAGAAAATTCAGTGAAATTTTCGGACAGCTTTGTTGAACAATTTCTCTGTAAAAAAATATGATGGCGGCGGAAATTTTTAAACGTCGCATGGCGCTTGTGATACTTTGCCTGGAAAATGACGTTATGTACTTTGGAAGGTGCGGCAACTAAGTTCGAGGGCAACGAGGAAGATGCACGAACTGGGACGAGAGATGAGACAAACGAAAAATGACGTAATTATGTTAATCAACGGCTCATAAAAAATGTCGGATCGGTAACAGTTCCTCTGATGAGTGGTTGTTCTCGATCTGAGGAGCAGCGGGACAAGGGTGCCGCTTGTTCGTTTCTCGCCGAGTGTCACCGGGGGAGGTTTTGACGGATCTCGTAGGGGCGGCAAAGGCGTCGGCCCGCTCCCCGAAGCACTCGAGGCGCTGTAAAGGTCCCCGCTGCTCAAAGGCTGATTAAGGAGAACAGAATGGATGAATGATGGGCTGATGGAGCTCGGAAGGGACTCGGAGCAGCAGCTCATCAACCTGAATTTTGCACATTAATCTTTCGAATTCTTCCAGCCCCGTCCACGAATCTCCGAGGAGTATGATAAACACTGCTACGTCGTCGCCGCGGGAGAGCGTTCGAATCGTATTCGATCGCCCACCGAGGTGATTCAACGTCAAGGCTTCGTTTAAGCAGAATTCAATGAAACCTACCCAACTGCGTTAATAGAGATCTCCTGTTGAAAGTATTTGGAAATTTCACTTTCGGATTGAGTTTATCAGAGTGGAACCAAGTTTTTCCCCCCGAAAAACTAGGGATCCGTTCCTCATACACCAAAAAAAAGAAATAGGCTGACTTAACATTCTGGGTGTAAAAAAGTGTGCAACAACTCACGAAATGCTAAGTTAACGGCCACAGTAGTTAGCTCCACTGGTAAAAAAAAACCTCTTGGACCAATGCCGTATTGCATTGACTTAAGAGTGCAGTTTCTTGTCGCCGGATTCTTGCTTGAAACAAGAGTCTGGACTCTTGTTTCAAGCGGATTTTGCATTGATTCAATTCAAAATTCGCTTGAAACAAGCGTTCAGACTCTTGTTTCAAGCAACAATCCGGTGACAAGAAACTGCACACTTGAACCAAGAGGTTTTTTTTACCAGTGTTTACATCTTAACATTGCCATAGTAATACTGCTATGGCGGTTAACTCGGCGTTTCGTGAGTTGTTGCACACTTTTTTACATCCAGAATGTCAAGTCAGCGCCCTTTTTTTTTCGTTGCAGATAAAGGAAATGCATAACTTACATGACCCGAAAATATGAAAATGACAGAATAAAGACTGAAATTATACAGCTTTCTCAACAATTCTTCTTTTTTATTGATAAAACCTGTGAACGCGAAAAAGATTTGCATGTATCCAAAAGATGTTGCCTCAATTCTTCTCCCGTGCTACATGTATTTATCTCACTGTTCTTTTTTCCACAAAACTGAATAAAATCTTTTCTTCACAGGGAGCTCAAAAAATAGTATTGCCATACACAAGCAACAAACCAATGACTGTGAAGCAAATTTTAAGGTAAGAACGAGATCATCATTTGTCTCGGTGTTGACCTGTCTCTGATAAAAGCTCACGGTCGGCACTTTAAAAACCGCGGACCATTCCGAGTGTCGCCTGAGAGAAGCTTTTCGTGTCTGGGACCAATTGAAAACAGTATATTTCCTTCCGTTCCGGGTGAAACTCTTAGAATTTCCAGCAACAAACCGCCTCGACATGATCTAATGAGCTCTTAAGACTTCGTTGCCGATTTGGGGGAAGTCGGCGGGCTCCTCTTTTGTGGAGAACTCCATTTTCCTGTCCGTTAGACGCCGATGCCTTTGGCGGTTCGCCCTTCGCATGACACGCACGTTTGCTCCTCAATCTTTAAGTTCTTTAAGAGGTATCTGTCCGGAATTTTTATTCCACGCACTTATGCCGAGTAGCGTGTTGAATCAGTATTCCCGGCCAAGCGGCTCCGCCCGAAAGAGGCGAGTGGATGAAGATAACGCGCCCAGGTTGCCAAATTATCACCGTCACTCGAAGAAAAAACTCACTTAAAGCTCTCGTCGAGAAGATCATGAGTCGTATTCATTGTCTTTCTTCGAAAATTTCCTTACCACGAGAGGGCCCACACTGCGGGCCGATTATTGAAATTGATAGACAAAGCTACAGTCAAAGGAGACAAAAGACATATGGATAGATCCTATTGGTGGAAGTGGGTGGTTGCAATGGACAAAGGAGGTAGGTAAAAGATTAACTAACGACAACCCACGAGACCCGACAGTTAAATCCATCATTTTCTCCCTTTGTCTATGGGAATCTTTCAACCGTTAGGATCGCTCCACACTCGCTATGTCTTCTTTGTCTATAGCTTTGTCCATCAATTTCAATAATCAGTCCGCTGCTGTGCTAAAGGAGAACACCGTATGAACATTCGAAAGTTGCCAAATTTCCTTCGACAAAATGTTCATTTTTGAGGAGAGTTATGAATATTTTGCCTTTAAATTTTCAGAATCTTTAGTTAAAATTGTAAACTAAATTATCTGAATAATTGGGAGGAAAATATTCACAAATTTACCAGGATATTCGCGTATTATCAAAGGAAATTTGGCAACGCCTGAAGGTGTGTATAGCGTTTTTCCTTAGCACGGCAGCACAGGGTTCATATCGATGAAGAAACTGCAGAAATTCAGCGTATCTCACAATCAGTTTGCAGCGTTGTATACTTCCTGGCTTGCTCTATTTTGCCGTAAATGAGAACAAAAATCAAGAGCCCTTATTACTATTATTAAACGGCACTCGGAAAGCAGGGATGTATGGATTTGATTAGGTTAAATTACCATGCTGTTTGTTTCAATCAAGAGAGAGCGTCACGTGATGGCAGCCAGTTTTGATTTTGTTTGAACTGTGGAGCTTTGATTTATCTGTATCAAATAGACTATTTCTGCCAAACGGAACCAGAGACACAAGGGAAGGAAGGGTTGTGCTCGTTAGTTGAGGGCCGTAAGAATGAATGGAAATCATCAAGTGCCAGTGACGTCAGCGGCTTCGCGTGGTCAGCATTTACTCTTGAGCCCCATCCACAACGCTCTTATCACATGCCCAAGGCTCATGAGTGGCGCATTCAGTTGGCATATAGTTCCGTTTGACAGAATGTAAAATCCCGTTTTTCCATTTCTCCAAAGGGCAATCGCCCCCATTTTTACTTTATTTCTTAAGCAGCTTTCTAGATCACACCCCATTTTTCCCACTCGCCTATAGTTCCGTTTAGCAGAAATACGTCCAAATAATGTCTTTGTCACTCTTCTTCTCTAATCGTCAGGCAATTCCAGAAAGAGTAAGAAATCCATACAAAAAAGAATCCCAAAGCCACCCCTATCTACCATAGTGACCAGTGAGTTAAAAAGATGGTGACCCATTGAACTTGAATGACCACAGTAAGAGTCTTTGCGGCCGAAGAAAAACAGGCTTAGTCTTAATGACGCTTTATTGAAACATTAAGAAGACGGAGACAGCTAATGGTCGAACGATGCCAACTTGTATCGTCTCTCAAAATATTAAAGTTAGCGTGTCTAAAAAATGCTTTGACTTGACGAAACAGTTACGAATAATCTAAAACGGTCTAAAGTTTTGACAATCATGCAGAAAATCCAGAAAAAATTAGTAAGTGCACTCAAAAACGAAAAAATTCCATTGCCAATAAGAAAATTTCCATTGTAAGTAGCTTCCCGTAGGAAACGAGTGTTCTCCTCAGCATAATGAAAAATTGCGAAGAAAACGTGTTTCTATTCCGAGGAATTATTTTCTTCCCTGTTCATCTATTATCAAGAGTGGCGGTAGCCACCCCCGGTCGAGGAAAATGACGACCTACTAAAGTCCCGATAGCAAAGGAGTGGCCGACACTCTTAGTCACAGGCATTAAATATGAAACCAAAATTCCAGCTTATTTGAAGATTTTAGGTGCAAAAAAAAAATTGCAAACATGCCTTTTTAGAAATTGGAATTTTAAAATAGTTCAAGATCCATCGCAGAAGAACGTAGGTATACCGATGGCTAAAGTGCGGAAGCACGTATTCCCATTGCGGTGTTTTGAAATTTCTGCTCCTACTTTATTTTTTCGGAGAGAAACACTTAAGCCAACTTCATAGCTTGAAATATATGGATAATATTTTGACCACACGGAGAAAAAAAAACACGGTATTTTAACCGGTACGCGGTTACTGGATAGTGAAACCACGGTTATCATGTCACACGGGTTTCCAAGTTAGCTGAGCAGGTAACACATCAACACACTTCAACACAGTAGCATGTATTTTTGTGTTCTCCGGTCCCACGAACGTGGTCTGCGGTTCAGTTACCGTGGTCCACAGTAGGTGAATCGTGGACCACGGTATAGGTGAACCATAGACCACGGTAGGTGAACCGTGAACCACAGTAGAATTACTGTGTTATTTTAGGCCTTCTATTTTAGAAACCCAACCTCAAAATAGCAAATATATCGAAAAATAATGATAAAGCACATATAATTGAACAAACATCTGGGTGAAGGAAGGGGCAACTCATGCAGTACTTCTAAATCAGCTATGCTTTAAAATACCTTTTTATATTCAATGATCAGTGGACTTCAATCCTGACGGTGCTGAAGAACTAAACAATTACTTATCCGTGCTCATGTATTGCACAACAATGCGTCTTCGTCGAACTCATGCAAACAAAAATAATTTTTTGAGAGTAAGTAGGACAATATTTAGTCCCGGCTGTTCAACCATAACAACTACGAGGTTAATTTCACCATTCGCGACACATTAAAACTGTTCAACTACCGCAGACACTCATATTTTATCGTAACACTTTGGAACTATCTGGACTCGACCGACGCTGAAAGAACAACTGACAATATCTCGTTCTGTAACGTTCGTTTTTGAAATGAGATCCGCCATTAATTCGATCCGAGCTGCATAGTTCGTGGACGTCGTCGTCAATACGTTTTCTGTGTTGCACAGTAGCGTCATCGGTTCTGGGTTGATGGCCTAATCGTAGAGTAGTTGCATCAGAGTGCGAATGGAGTCTCCCGTTCTTCGTTGGGGGAGGGCGTTGGTACAACCTGCAATCGGCGGTATTGTGTTACGAGGTTTGCGTCGACTGTGTGGGAAGATACTCCGAGTGTGGTTAACATTCTATTACCGCGATTGGCGATTCAGGGACCGGAAAAATGTCTTTGGTGCTGCACTGTTATATTGCCTCGAGTTTCCCTCAGTATTTATCCCTTGCTTCAACTGTCGAACTATTGAGGAAATTGGCAGGTGAACTCGTGACAGTATCCTCGAAACCTTGCGTCAAGTGTTTTGAAATCGAGCACAGACTCTCGGTGAGGGCGCCATGAAGCTCCCGAGGGAGGAATAGAGAACCCCGAATGGAGGTTGAACATAAGCACGATAGAAAATGATACAAAGCCGTCAACGGAAGTTAAATCGGGGGTGCGTGGTAGAGCCGAAATCACCCCGAAGACACGTAGATTTTATGAATTGAGGGTTGGAACTGGCAGCGGTGGGGTAAAGCGACTCGACGCAAGTGTAAAGAGTATTAATGACTGAATGACCCTGCTTCTCTATTCATCACGGCACAGTGGTGACAACGATCCGGCACTTTGCCTTATTTACGGACTCGAGGCGGGTGTCTCGTCTCTGCTCGCGAGGGACCCAGTGAATTTTCGCTCGGTCTTCGAACCGCGGGGCCCCGGAAACTATCAAGCTTTTTCTCTCCATTCAGCCCTGCGTCTTTCACCGGCTGACGGCTCGAATTTTCGGATGATGAATCGTTCCGGGAGAAAGGATAGTTCTCGCGAAACTTTTAAATTATTTTCGCTGCCCTTATCTCGATGGCACTTTGATGTACCACTCACTGCCTCGAAACTTGGCCGAGGAGCTCTGGAGGGAGTCGCATTGTCGGGTTTCTGACGGGAGGAATCTTTTCAATGAAAGAGAGGAATCCCCGGAATTTCTTGTTACAGTAAATCCTTCCAAAAAAACAAAAATAGATTTTTGTACAAAATTTCGGCCCAATCCCAAAAAACTCTCTGATTATTTTTTTAAGAACAAATTATACCAAAAACATACGATAGCTCTGCCGTTTGAATTCATCATTTAAAAGTAGGTGATATCAAAACGGCCCAATTTCCCCCTTAATACCTATGCAATATACATCGCAAAGTTTTTTCCTAAAAAAAATCAAATACTTAAAAGGTATAATGGTCTGGAACACGTTTTGATTCATTGTTTAAAAGGAGTGATATCAAAACGGCCCAACTTCCCTTAAATTTGCCCACCTCGGGGCAAAATTATTCGAAACTTTCCAACTCATCACTTAAGAGACACCAACCACTACTTGAGTTTTAGTATATCTCTTCCTTTAAAAATCAAAGATGTCCCTTTGAAAACTGTAATGGTTTTTTCTCTTTAAAGATACAAAACACAAATAAT